TAGTAACCAAGAATGGGCCCGAAAATGGATGTGTGCAAGGTAATATTATATTGGATAATTTAAAGAAGTTTATAGTTAATAAGGTTGATATTCAATTATGCAAATCTAATGGTTTTAGAAAATTAACTTTTATTTAAGAAAAAAAAGAAAGAAAAAGAGAGAAAGAAACATGAATAGCCTCCTTTGCACATATTTTAAGCCGCGAAATTGCCGAAATGGATTTGCGCGGATTTGCCAAATTTATTAAACAAATTAACAACGAAGTTTTTAGTAAATTTATTTACAATAACATACAAACAATAACATTAACACAATGATTTTATATAGAATTTAATTGCTTTAGTTGATTTTACACAGAATTTACATTGTTCTTTTTAACAAATTTTGATGTCTATTTGTTTTTCGGATAAATAAACATTACTACATATCTCATTACTATATATCATTTGATTAAAAATGCCATTTAAATAGATGTTTTTGAAAACATTAGAATTCCAAGCAGTTAATTTTTTTTATATTGAGACTAAAATCATTTCTTTTATCGTATAAATCAGCAAAGCAGATATTTTCTTCCTTTATAATTCCCGAATCCAAAAAATTAAAATTTATATTATCATCATGATTACGAAGCGGGATTAACTCCTCGGGGTAAGTATTATTTAATAAAATTGTATAATCTTTATAATTAAAGATAATTAAAACATTAATAAATCTAAAAATAAATTTAATATTTAGAGTATAATTTTTTTCTTAATCGTGCAAAAATAAGTTTGTTAAGAGAGGTGAAAAATTAGATCCTTGTGGTATACCGTCAATTTGAAGAAAAGATAATTATTAAAAAGACAAAAATTAATTAGAATTTCCCAATAATCAAAATCACAATTAAGGATATTTCTAAATTCGTAGTAATAATTCAAAAGGAAATCTTTTAGTTTAGAAAGGGGAATGCTCTTAAAAAGAGCTCAAATGCAAGCCAAGGTAGCTATTTACCGTAGCAGAACTATTTACCGCAAATCGAAGTCCGAGTCCGAGTTGTGAAGAAAACATGGCGTCATAAACTCAATTTACAGTCACCTTCAAAGTTTTGTGTCTTTTACCAAATTTCGGTGCAGTCATTTGCACCATGGAAGTATTTCTCGATCACACTTCACAACTTATGGTGTAACTAAAATAAAATGATCTCTCATTTAACTGAACTTTGGGATATTGAGAAACTTTGCACGAAGTACTGGTTAAAGATTCACCGATTTTTTTACAGCTTTAAATCGTCAAATATACGGAGAAAGTATGAAAAAAAGGATATTTTTTACTGACCCTGGATACTATTAGGGTACCGGATACTACGTAAGGTAATTTACATCAAATGATGACTAAATTTAGTTTTGTCTCAATAAATTTGCTTAATGGATTTAAATGAACTCTCTGGTTGAAAAAGTTACCCTTAGTTCTTGACTATTAAAGATTTCTATAGGTTACATTTGGCAACAAAAATAGGCATTTTTTTTAACATTAGAGCAAAAATTCATATTGAGTCATAAAATGCGTAAGAAGAGTCTTTCTGAAGAATGGGTGTCACTTAATGTCATCTTTTTTCTTTTTTTTCAATCCTTAAAAACCATATTTAAATAAAATTGGTGAATTTTTTGGGGGTTCAATAAAAGTATCTATCGTAAATATATTTACCCAAATAATAATAAATTTCAAAGAATAATATTTAAATTGGTTATATCCTGAGTCTCGTTTTTACACAATATTTGTTTTTTTTTTTAAAAAAAATAACTACACTAGAAAGACTTAATTTATTGCCCAAAAGTAGTCAAAATAACTGCATTGTGACTAATGTGTTAAGAAATTTGAATTTTCAATATTTTTTACAGTTATATTACAAGTTATTAGTAAATATTAACGGTAAAAAAATTATATGTTGCACAAAAAGTCCCAGATTCTGAAAAATTGTGTCATTATATACATCATTGTTTTTCTAATTGAAATTAAAAAGGACTTCCTTGGTCAATCTAGCATATATATTTATTCCTGATTTCTCTTTAAAATACATTAACTCTAAACATGAACTGTAAGATAATTCAAATTTTAAAATAGAATTATTTTATTATAAATTTTATTATTTTAAACAAAATAAAAATTACAAATCATTTTTGTAACAAAATCTCAGTTATTGAATTAAATAGAATGTTTATCTTAGAAGAAAAAATACAGTCTATTTCACCTCTTCTGGAAAAAAAGATTTTCTTTTAAATTGACAAGAGTAATGCCCATTAGAAAGGAAAACAAGCTCTGAAATAAAAAAAATGTTTCTCTTGTGTTAGCCAATTTGTTTTTTTTTTTACATCGAACACGCAAATAGCTTTCCTGTCATGCTCAATTTACGAACGTTTCTTTGGTACATTATGTAAGGCGTTCAAAAATACTTTAAATCTTTAAAATAGGAAATAAATAACGAATAGATGTTTTATGGAACAATTTCTGCATCTCTTACTTAATGTTTTTTCTCTCTTACTTCGACAAAAATTGCTTTTGAAATTGCAAATTCAGTCGAATATGTTATAATCTTTTTTTATGTCAAGCAGTTTTATTATAAAGTGTGTAGGGTTATAAAGTCTTACAATAGAAATTTCTTCTTTTAAGCAAATAAAATGCTGCGTCATTTTATAAAAGAATGTTTTCCAACTTTGTTAATTCATATTTTTAAAATTAAAAACAATTAAATGCTGAGCAAAAAAAAAATTAAAAAAAATTCACAAAATATTTTGCTTGACGTGCTTAAATTCGAACTAAACATAAAATTGCACATCAAATGAAATGTAATCATCTATTATTTAAATCAATCGTTTCCCAATAAAACAAACATTGGCACACGATACTTTTATCAAGGATATTCTTCTTTTTGCTTTACTTTTAGCAGTCAATAAGGTTTAGCAGCCAACAAAATTAGATAAAAATGCAATCATAAGTATGCATGATTTATAAAAAAATATATAATAATGATAATAATTCAAAACAAAAGTAAATGTAATGAGACAAGTTCTAGTGAATGTCTTTTTATTAAAGTTGTGTTTTTTTTTTGGGGGGGGGAGGATTTTAGCGGAAATTAAAGAAGCGCAATTGTAAAGAAAACTTTAGAATTTTTTTAAACATAAAATTGTATGTGGGGAGATAAGTTATAGACAATATCAACTTTCATCTATGAACAGGTACCCCAACATAGAATTGAGTTAACATGTCTTATATACTAGTGAATTGGAATTGTATTTTTGTAATGTTAGACACACTACAGTACACCCCCACCAGAATTATAGCTGTGATAGAATTCGATGAACTGATACCACTAGTTGATTCATTGCTGTTTTGTGAGAAGCCGGGAGAACTGCATTAAGATCACCGTACTTTTGAATGCTGATGGTGAGAGCTGTATTAAGTTCACGGGCGTGATATCTCCTGTGTTTCATTTAGCAGTCGAGTGTATACGTTGTGTGTGATTGAGACTGAGTAGCAACAGCGCGAGGAGGTGGATAATATCACATTCACAAGTAGCAAGTCGAAAGTTCAATGTGGTTCATCCATAGAAGTAGGCGTGCTTAATTCGAAGTGGGAGTTTCTGTCAAGGTAGGCATGTTCACATCACGTCCGAAGGTCACCAGTGTGGGGCGAGTGTTAACGTCAAAGTCAACCTTCATCTATGAAAATGTACCCCACATTAGAATATATTATTGAATTGGAATTGTATTTTTTTAGTGGTAGACATATTACATTGTGGTTTACAAATATCTAATAAGAAGAGATTTAGAAACTTATTTTAAATAAAAATTTTTGTTGCTAAATAAAGTAAAATCTAAAAATAGTGAAAGATTGGTGCAAGGTTGCCTAAACTTTCTACGGGAGAAAGATTTCTTTTGAAATCCAACTTGCACACCTTATAATAACGATGGCTAGAAACTTACTCAAATTTCTTAATTTGTTCACTAATGAAAATAAAATCCGTCAATTATCTTTTTAGGGTTCTAGAAACTTATCTGCAACGCTTACTCAAATTTCTCAATCATTTCCTTCAAATAACAAATGTAAATGAAATCTACTAATTTTTTTTCAAGAAGGCAAGAAATGTGATTGTCACGCTTACTCAAATATCTTAAATTATTTTTCTCAAGTCACAAGCGGAAATGAAATCTACTAATTCTTTATTTTCTATTTTTAATAAACGACTGAAAAATATTTATTATTATTTTATAAATATATTTGTTTTCACTGTGAAATATTAATATTTTTGGAATTTAATGAAATTAATATGACTGTTAAAAATTCCGTGCACCAAAAATCTGTATTCATAAAATGAAGCTTTCCATATTTTGGTATTTTCACTAGCTAGAAATATCAGTGGAAGGTTGCACCAAAAGTAAGCATAAATGAAACACACATTTTTCTTTCATAAACCATTATTAGGTAAGCGCTCAATTGCAAGCTAAGGTTACCAAACCATTTATCGGAAGTACGGTCTATCAAATTTAAAAATTGAGCATAAAGGAAATGATTAATGAAATAAGTTGATACTTGAAACAACATGTCGTCCCGAAACACCGAGACAGAGTGTAAAGAAACAACACTAATATTATTCACTTTAAAGTCAAAATTTTATGTCTTTTGCCTAATTTTGGTGCTGTCAGTTGCACCATGGAAGTATTTCTCGATCCTACTTCTCAATATATGGTGTAACTAAAATAAAATGATTTTTTATTTAACTAAACTTTGGGATAATGAGAAACTTTGAGATTTACAGAGTTTTTTTACAGTGTATAAAAGCATTTTATTTAGAAATAACTACTTTTTAATAGTATTTTGAAGAAAAAAAACTAGAAACTGAGATATCTTTAGCGGAATCCATCTGGAAGAAAAATGTATTTGTTTTTCTGATAAATAGAAATTGTCATCCTAATTAAAGTAAAAATTTCAACTCAAAATAGAGTTTTAAAAAGAATTTTGTGCAGGTGTATGTCCTGTCTTATGCAATGGACATGGAAGGTATATCCATGGAGTGTGTAGATGTGAACCAGGATGGAAAGGTTCTGAATGTAACATTCAAGCAACGGATTGTGAACTTGCTGATTGCAATGGACGAGGGAAATGCGTAGATGGTGTTTGTGTATGCAATATTGGTTACAAAGGATCATTCTGTGAACAAGGTAAGATTTCTATCCAGTTACATTTCTACGTTCCATAGTCCTACTTTATACATGATTTTATTAGTTTTCATATTTTGTATTAAAATAAAATGAACCAACATAATTTAATGGGGAGCCTTAATAGAAAATTATTATTTCAAAATCTATGATTTCAAGATTCTGATGATTGAGACACCAAATATAAATTGTCGTTCTAATAAAATCATCACAATTTAAGTGAGAGATACCCACCCAACCAATCAAGCCTTTATTAATCATTTAACAATAAATATTATGTTTTAATCCAAGACGAGGAAGTTCCCCCTTACGCAATAGGTCACCCTTGAACTAAAGACGTCGATCTCCTTCAAGAAAATCTGTAGAAAACTAAGGCAAGCAATTAGAAGATGATATCAAAGAAAGAGTTCTTTACCTGAAGAAAATTCAGTTGTTTTCCAATCTGAGGAGACAACGTGATCACTTTTTTAAAGAGACATAAGCGCAATAAGTAATTTAAGATTTTAATTATTATTTATTGAATGCTCTCGAAGTTTCATTCTCTTACGTTCATTTATTTTATTCTATTGTATGTACATGCTTTTCAAGTTGTCATGTTCTTTTCTTTCTAGAAGTTTTTCAATAAATCTGTTCTGCGTCAATTTCATTTTTTTCTATATTAAAAAGTTAACATTTTAAAGAACGAATTTTTTTAAAATGATTGCATTATTCTATTTTTTAAAGATTTAACAAGCAAATTTTTAAAGAAATTTACAACTTAATTATTCTAGATTACAAAAATTGAAAGGAAGGATTCAGTGAATATTACTGTCCGGTGTTCTTTAGTTCTAATTGTCATCAATCAAAACTTTAAGACGTATATATAGTTGTCTTTAAAAGGAACAATTTAAAAGCTTTTTTTGATGGTAGCCAAACATTAACACACTATAATAACTTGAAATATCTTTTGATGTAGTGGACTGCCTTGACTCTACTTGCTCTGGTCATGGAGTGTGTGTAGGAGGAGAATGTTGGTGTAAAATAGGCTGGAGAGGAATAAATTGCAGTGAAGCAGATGGTAGATTAAGCAGATGTTTTCCAGATTGTTCTTCTCATGGTGTTTTTGACTTAGATTCAGAAAAGTGTATATGTTTTGATCATTGGACAGGAGCTGATTGCTCCAAAGGTCAGTATTTTAGTTGCTCAGACATTCACATGCATTCTTACATTTTAAATCGATATTTCATACGACAAGCATGTCATTCAAAATGATGAAGGCGTCTTCGAGCTCCATTACTGAAAATAGCACATACTTTTACAAAAGGTTTAAATAAATTTAATTTTACTAATTATGTATAAAATATTTGTTAATTAATTGTGAAATAAATTGATATAAAATACATAAAGATTTCACAAAGTTATTCTGGCTATTATTATTAGCAAAGTAAAAATTCCATGACTAATATTTACAAGTTTTTGTTGCGAATACTATACTGATTCCATTCCAATAATTATACTGTGCTAAACCCTGAAATAACGTTTAACCATTTTTCGCATATTATGAGTATTAAAACGATATCAAGTTTATAATATTTAAATGCAACATAACGAAGTCTTTATGCTGGAGAAACCGGAAGGTGAACTTTTCTCATAACTGATTCAGCTTCATCCGACCATATTTTTAGTCCTCTTTGGCTGAGCTATTTAGGACAATGTTGCAATGTCTGGAGAGTGTGATGACTCTTCTCATACAACTGATTCAGCTTGATCTGACCATAGTTTTAGTCCTCTTTGGCTGGCCTATTTAGATCAATGTGGCAATGTTTAGAACATTGTCTGAACGATATGATAAATCTTCTCATACAACTGATTCATCTTCATCCAACCTTATTTTTAGTCGTCTTTGTCTGAGCTATTTAGAACAATGTCTAGTTGAATGAGTATCAGAATATTTCAGATCATATTTTATTAAATTTCTACATCAATGGGTGAATTTTGAGTTCGAGACTGTTTTAAAAAATGTTGTAGCCATCTCAAATTGGGAATTAAAAAATCAGAATCATGTTTCGATTGTGCTCTTTATAATTTGCCTTGAATTCCTAAATAATTTAGTTCACATGTTTCAGCAGTTGAAACAATTTTAAATGACATTATATTCATTTTAGGATTTCAAACATTAAGTAACTTTGGTATCTATGCCTGATAATATTTGATATGATACTACGGTTTGTTTTCGAAACAAATTGACCTTGAAATTTGTCTAAACAATATTATAACTTATTTTATTTAATCAATTGATGTGTTTTATGAAAGAAAATCAGACGCGCATTTATATTTACTCATAAATTTTAAAAGTTAAAAATTATATTATCATAAGGGAAAAAAAGTCATTCTACTTGATTCATATATGTTGTTGCTGTTGCTTATCCCCTTGGTCAAGAGCCCTAGACCAAGTCCAGAAGATCATGTCGCATCAGCAAGTCACAGACAGTCTCTCCATCACTCATCAGTTGCCTCACAGAGACACCAATGCAATCCAAAAGATGAGAAGCGAAGGCCGAGCAATTACAATGGGCATAAGTCTTTTCTTTCGCTCTGAGGGTCAAACACTTTATATGGCCGGTCCTAAGACTTGACAAAGCTGTTTGAGCAAATGCACTGCAGGGATAATCCGGGGCATACCAATCATGATCTGGTGGGTGCTTCCACGCTGAATTTACCCTAGCTAACTTCAGGGAGTGAACCTCAGACAGTTTAGAGGAAGTTCTCTCCCTTCCTCGGCAAGCCGATCAGCAATCTCATTCTCATAAATACCCACATGGGAGGGGATCCACTGCAAGTGCACCGAGCCGATCTGAGACAAAGTAGTCAATTTGATAACGATTTGATTCAAATCTAACTCTTAAAACGTTTTTGGTGAAGACTGAATAACGTTGTTCGCAACAGCCATATTGTTTTTCGTTAATTGCATTGTAAAAACTATAATGTAATTCCTAATCAAATTTGGTGTTAAAAAAACCTTTAAAATTGCGTGCTATTTGAAATTTATTTCGAATCGAGCGTCCATACCCTTGTTAGAAATTGTTTTTAAATCAAAAATCCAAAAAATGAGAAAGCTTACATCATGAGCAGATGCTTTTAATATTTTCATGAATTATCTTCGCCAACGTTAGCGTATATTTAAAAAGAGCCGGTTATTTTTTGTTTACATTCTAGCAGAGAAGATGAAAGTTTAATTTCGCCTCGCACGATTCACAGAATTCCACAGAGATGACATTTATATTTTTTTAAGATTTACGCAATACAACTGTATAAACTAATTTTATAATAATTAGTTTTTAGTCGCTTTGATTTTAAAGCCTAGCTCGTACTCAATGCTGTGTGTATGTTTGATTAACAAGCTACTAGTTAATTTTATTTTAAGAAATAGTCTCCATTTATATCTTAAATTAATGATTCTTGCTTTATATTGTATCGTATAAATAACTTTATCGGTTACTATGTGTATCATAACTTACTGTCATTGCAAATTTTAGTGTCACTAAATGAGAGAAATGGTTGCATCATCTTTACAAAAAGTAGTGTAATGAAAATCTTCGTGTTATGTGAACCAAAAATTAGGTGTGATATTTCATTACACCGATTTGGTGGAAGGAAGTTGATATACACTAACATTTTTACAGCCCAAGTCAAAATTCTTGATGGCCCCATCAAAAAATTTTGACGGTTTTTGTTGGTTTCAGTGCGATTCATGATGGTCCAACATCATTTGATGGTCACCATAATCCATCATTTTCCATTACGTGTTCATGGTTTTTGATATGCCTACAAACTTCCATCATTCCATGATGGAAATTGCTACTTTAATACTATGATGGTTAACCATCAAAAGAAGTTTGACTCACATTGACCAACAATCCATGATGATCCGCGATGGTTCACGATGGTTCCTACTATACATTTTCATGATGGTTGATTGGGAATTCTTGTTGGCTCTCAGATATATACCATCAATCAATTTAATACAATTTGGGTTTCTTTATGTTGAACCATCATAAATCAGTCCAAATTTCTTCATTGGGATGATGGTTGTTCACTATCGTTCCAACATTTGATTTTCTGAAATGCTATGATGGAAATTCGTGATGGTTCAACATTAACAAACCATCAAAACAAGTTGCTGGTCTTATGTTGGACCATCATAAATCAGTCCGAATTTCTACATTGGGGTGATGGTTACTTATGTTGGTTATCATCGAAAAATATAATGGTTCACGATGGAATTATTAATGGTTACCATCAAGGATATATTTGTCTATCAATGGAAAACCATCAAAAATTTTGACATGGGTGTGCATAATGCGCCAAAACCACCCTAAATAACTTTTGATCAAATTATCGTACTAAATTTTAATGGATCTAAGGGGTGACCTCAAATATACTAATTAATAAATGCAGGCAACGTTCTAAGCTACGACAAATGTACTTTTCTGAATAAACCTTTTTTCGATGGAATCAGATATATGACCCCCAAAATATAGGGGACAATTTGGGAATTCTGGTCCCAATATTTTGGTCAAGAAAGCGCTTGACCTCCTTATTGTATCCTTATTAAGTTTTATTAAATTTTACTTTTTGCTTATTTCGCTATATCTCGAGAACTTTTTAAGCAAATTAAAAAAAAAATTTTTGCACAATTATAAAATTCGTTCATTGAAATATAATTCCATGTAAAAAATGACTTTTAGTAAATATTTATTATTTTTTGTTATTTTATTTAAGAATGAGAAAAAAAATTGAATTGTAAGGTGCACAATTTTTGGCATCATTTTAAATAATGTAATTTTATATGGCAATATACAAAATTTGAGCAAAATTGGTTGAATAGTTCGCTAGAAATTGGTTGTATTCCTGGCAACTTCAAAAACGTCAGACACTTACGATTTGATTTCTCAGGAACTATTATACTATATAGGAAACTATATAGGAAAATACAAAATTTGAGCCAAATTGGTCAAATAGTTCCTTGGAAATCAAATCTTAAGTGTCTGACTTTTTCGAAGATGTCAAGAATACAACCAATTTCTCACGAACTATTCAACCGATTTTGCTCAAATTTTGTATTTTGCCATGTAAAATTATATTCTTTAAAGTTATGCAAAAAATTTTATACCCAACGATTCAACCATTATTAAATAAAATAACTAAGAATAATAAATATTTAATAAAAGTTTTTTTTTGCATGGAATTATTTTTGAATAAACAAATTGCATAATTGTGCGTAAAAACTTTTCAATTCGCTTAAAATTTTCATTGATTTTACATTAAATCTTATAGTGCTTCCAATAATTTGGCCAGAGAATGATAAAAATGTATTTTAAGCGTTTTGAAAACCTTTTTAGAAAGTTTATATTTTCAAACCTTTCTAACAAATGATTTCCTTTTAGCTAAATGTAGTTTAGATTGTGGAGTTCATGGTCGTTGTGAAGAAGGACGTTGTCACTGTGACCAAGGTTGGACAGGTCACAAATGTGATCTGCGTACATGCGATCCGCGTTGCTTAGAGCATGGTCAATGTAACAACGGAACTTGTGTTTGTATTCAAGGATGGATGGGAAGACATTGTAGTTTAGGTATATTTTGTTTTCTTTTTTATTCTTAAATAAATAAATAAGGAAGATGAAGAAAATCAAATACTTTTGTTCTCCTTTAAGATGGATGTCCAAAGGGTTGCAGTAATCATGGTCAATGCTCAAAAGATGTTAATATTTGGACTTGTAGATGTCACGAAGGTTGGGGTGGACAAGATTGTAGTGTGCCTCAAGAAAAAAACTGTAATGATGAAATTGATAATGATTTAGGTAAAGTGTCATTTCATTTTATAATTGTATGAAACGTCTCTATAAAATGACTAAGAAGTATTATATACTTTCCCTAGGCATTGTATATAATACCCAGACATTCTATAGAAGGACAAATGATATTAAGGCAAAGTATGAAAAAAACATCCTAATGAGGTTATTATGTAAATGATGCGCATTTATGATGCACAAAAATAATGAGAGTGCCATTAAAAAAAATTATTCAAAATGCGTAAAGAAAAATGAAAGTTGTACGAAACATAATTTATGCCTTTCTTATTAAGGGAAACAAAATTTTCATATAAAAATTACAAAATTAACCTACTTGTTGCAACATGGCAGGCTTGAATGACACTTAGAATTAAATTTCATTACATTACAAAGCGAATCGGAGATATATTTTATACTTTTTGGGTCTTTATTTGGCATTCTATAGAATGCCTAGAAAATGTGTGAAATATAGATTGTTTCAAACATTGGCGGTTAGTTTTAGGCATTCTATACAATGCCTAGGCATTCTATAAAATGCCGGATTTCAAACTTTGCCAGTAACATAATCATGAGAAAGCAATCACTTTTAAAGACGCATTTGTTTCTTTATAAATTAAAATGTGATTTGGTAAAGGAAAACAGGGTTGTTTTTATTATCATAAAAACATTTTTGCAAACTTTTAACTGCTATGTTGTTACTAACTAGATTTATATTATTGTTACTAATCATTGTAATCAAACTTTTGTTACCGATCATTGTAATCTGATCATTAGCAATAATTGTTATTAGATCAATCTGTTAGCAATAATTGTTATTAGACTATTGTCACTAATTTGACTCATTGTTTCTTGAATGAGATCTCTAAGATATCATGTAATAACTCTTAACAATAACTAAAGAAAAATATAGGCTTTTACGAAATGATCTGGATGAAGATAATAAGCAAATATTTTGTTTATCTATCAACAAGGCTATATTAAGTATAGATGTAAGCATGCTTGGTTAAAAAATGTTCTACTTAACCAATGCAAGAAAAGAGATAATTTGTTCTTATACTGAGACGCAATTAAAAAACATTGGTTGGGAGAACATAGGAAGTAATATCATTAAAATTATCAAAAGAACGAAGTTTTGACGATAAAGAATATAAAATTCAACGCTGTAGGTGAATCTGTTTCATTTAGCAAAAAGTACTTTCCTAGTTGTGACTTGTACTTTTTCACCCATACTGCAGTACGTCAAGTACCTTGAAAGAAGTAGACGCCCAATGTATGGTGGTATTATATTCCAATGACTGAAGGAAGGACTGGTGAAAGACAAACATGTTGTACATTCTGCTGTTTGACCATTCCACCTACTCATCACAATTATTGCCTTGTTATCATCGATATTGATATCATCGATATTTTTCTATAACTTGGAACATGTCATTTATGTATTTGTTTATGGCATTTCCTTTAAATTCACCATAACTTTAGGACCAAAACGATTGTTTAGGTTCTTGTAATACAATTAGTACGAACTTTCTACAAACTTTCCATCTGCGTGAATGCTCATTTGTATCATATAAGAGTGCTGCAGTTTTGATTATAATCCTAACCGATGTTGCAACGTTTTTATATCTAGTGTTCCTTTTGACATAATCTCATTCTGAAAATCACTTTGATCCGTACAAAAAGTGCAAGAGAGGTTGTACTTATTCTGTTCAATCATGAGTTTAAAGTTTTCTCGAAATTCTCGTATCACATGCCGAGGAGATATCTTAGGAAATACACTGGTGTAAGAAATTAAGAGAATTTGCAGACTGAGTCCATTATCTCTAGAACTGCTGAACCCATTTTAATGAAATTATGTGAACATACATTGATACAATACAAAACAAATAACTATTCAGCAATTGTAATACATGCACATGATCGTGCATAACACTCGTTGCAGTCGAAAGGTAGGAAATCGACACAAGACAATTCAGGCCAATTGCCACAAGGAATGGGGAACTGCCTTATTTCAAGTATGAAATCACGCTGCAAGTCCTTTATATCTGTAAAAGGAGACCATACCCCCTATTAACCCAAATTTTTTTCTAATATTCTGCTACCGCTGTTTTATACCTTCCAACTAAAACGAGTGTTACGCACGATTATGCGGGTGCATTACAATTGTTGAATGGGTATTTGTTTTGTTTTATATCAATATATGTACATATCAAATTTCATTGAAATCAGTCCAGTAGTTCTAGAGATAATCGACCAAGTCTGCTAATTCTCTTAATTCCTAACACCAGTGCAAATTCCTTTGCTTTACAAAATGCGTCCTCTTGTGGCTGATAATTCTTTTATCGGTTTTGAAAATTATCATAAAATGCGTACTTGCTCGAAAATCATAAAGACCGCTTTCGAGCGCTTTATTCAGAGTTCATCTTTTCAAATCTCTGTCATGCGCAGTTTCATAGGCCCTCTAAGACGAGACCTTACCAACGGTACAACTTTCATCGAAATTCAGAACTGGCATTTGGGGTACTTCTCCGTTCACCAGTATTATTTTAAGCTCTTAAGAACATATAAATTGCTCTAATAAATAATATAAAATGATTTATTTCTAGATGGCCTAGTTGATTGCGCAGACAGTGAATGCTGCTCCAAAGGTCAATGTCAGGATAGTTTAATGTGCATGTCTTCACCAGATCCATTGGATATTTTGTTAAGAAAACAACCTCCTGCTGTTACCGCATCTTTCTATCAGAAAATGAAATTTCTCATTGAAGAACAAAGTGTCCAGAGTTATGCACACAAAGATGAATATTCAGAAAGGTATACATTCTATCTTATTCAAATGAATTCATCATTTCAGACGGACTCTTTCTTAAGTATTTCAATATGACAATTCTCATTTCAATATGACGATATTTCTTTGCTCTAGACTTGCTTATAGATATGAACTAAAGTACTTGCATTTGAGAGTCAATATGCTCATAATATTGTTTCAGAGAAATCACCATAACACAATATTTTGCACCATTATTATTGTCAAATGATTTTTTTTACTCAAACTCTTATAGAAATTACTCAGGCATTCCAATAATAGGGTCAAAAATAGATTAAAATACTTTTTCAGGTGGTTATTTTAACTTTTTAAGAATGATCAGGTTCATCATCATTGACCACCAATAATTGCTTTCTTTTTACGGAAATGTTCAATTTAAAATATGATTTCCAGAATTAAATTAATATAAAGGACATTGTTATATCCGAAATAAATATATAAATTTAAGAAAATATATGAAAAAATAATAAAATTGCCAAATGTTAGATAATGAATTTTTCATGAAAGTGTATTTTTATGTTATAGTATTAAAGTTTTTATGTTATTATACGCGAAATGTATTAAAATATAATGCTTTTGTCTTACGCTACTCGTTATTTGATTACAATATATTTTTTAATTACTTCCTTACAAAAACATTATTTCTCACGTCTACTTTTTAATTAATGAATGCAAGAGACTTTTTTTCAAAACTAAAATTGAAACCTCTTTTTAAACCTCTACTTTAAAAATACAGATAGAAAAATTTTAAAAACCAACTTATACGATACAATTAAATTTGGAGTTTTTTTAAATTATAACTGAAATGTTTAGGCTCTTTTTTTCATTAAATTTAACAGAGATTTATTTTAACGAAAATATATTTCTCCGAATAAATCATTAAAAAAGCAATTAAAATGCAATCATTAAATCCATTTTATACTCAGATACGTTAAATGAGACTATAAAAGCAAATAAGTAGGATTTTTGAGTAGTAAATTTTTAGATTATATTTAAAAAGCTTTATCCTCCTTTTTTTCAAAAAAAAAATAAAGCTGGAACTCATTAGAATTGCTTCATTTAACAATTTTTATTTCCATCTGCTGCAGCAAAATTAAAAAAATGGATTTAGTATTTGTAAAAAAAAATCGAAAGATATATTTTAATATAAAAAATTAAATGCACTTCCACAAAATAATCGTTAAAAAAATCTGCCTTTAAATGTGAGTTAATGACAGAGTTTTCCAACGTGAGATTATAAAAAAAGGGAACGTTGCTTAAGGTAAATTTTTTTTAATTAAAATCCTAAAATTCTAAATATTCTTGTTTAAAGCTTAATTCTTACTATAGCTTACTTAAAGCTATAGCTTGATAGTGTCTATATATGTTGTCTTTCACCTTTTATCAGCTCATTCAAAAGACAGATTTCCTGATTTGAGTTTTGTAATTTTTTTGATTTCAGATTTTTTAAGATTTGTAACTAAAATCTGAAAAAAAATTTTTTAAAAAAAGACAATGAAGTAGAACCAAAAAATACTGTTTAATATTGAATGTTAAAAGAAAATTTCTAAATATTTTCTTACTTAAAGCTAAATTCTTACTACAGCTTACGTAACGTTATAGCTTGTATGTTGTCTTTCACCTGTACATTTTATCGGCTAATTTAAAGGATAGATTTCTAAATCTTAAAACTATTTCAAACTAAAATCTTAAAACTATTTCAAAAAGACAGTAAAATAGAACTAAATATATTATTTACTAATGAATGTTTGAAGAAAAATTCTAAATATTCTCACTTGAAGCTTATTATAAATAACAAATTCATACCTGGACCTCAGACTTCCGAATTTGCATGTAAAATGCAAATTAATAATTTGAAAATAATAATTGAAACAGAAAAATTTTAGAATTTGAAAATTAATCTCTGAAAATGAATTTTATTTGTCTCGCACATATAATTTATTCAAATAAAAAAAGGTTAAAATACTCAAAGCGTAACAAGAAACATTTCAGTTTTATTTATTTTTTTTTTGGTATTTACTTACGGTTTCGTCAGTCAGTATACGAAAAAACTATTATAACTTCATTTCTAAAAGTTGATATCAAGAATTTAAAGTAAAATCAAATAAACTAAGGTTAAAATATGAAAAAGTGAAGAATGCTGCTGCAATATGTGCTATCTTGTAATGTGTTTCTAATAATGCATTTTAACTCATCTCATTTGAATATCCACAATTCGGCCAAGATATAATGAGCCAATTAGACCAAGAATCATGAACTATTTGTAAATTTTTGTGTGAGAAAAAAATAATGGTGTTTGGTTGTAAATTAGGTAATTAATTTGATTCGCTTATCAAGAAAACGATTTATTAAAAAATTCAAAAAATTTTGATATTTCTATGTAGTATATAAGTTTCAGTAAAATTACGCGAGTTTTATGTACTTTCTTCCATTTAAAAAAAATTTTTTTTTCATTAATTTCATCACATAAATTCTGTTTGTAATTTATTTACAATTATTATTGTTTGTAATTTATTCACAATCATTATTGTTTCTATCAAATTACATTATCCTAGAAATAAGTCAAATAAAAGCGTTCTAAACCATTTTAACTCAGCAACTGATAGGTCATTTGTAGATAATTCCAATGTATCATCCTGTTTTTGACTTTCATCTCTCTTCCCAAAATATATTCCTTCCAAAATCAATATACATATTAATATCCTTTGCTTAAAACAATAGTTTTCGTTTTACTTAAACTTGTTTGAAGTTTAAATTAATTATTTAATTTGAATTTTTGTTTGTAATTTATTCACAACTATTATTGTTTCTATCAAATTAAATTATCCGTGAAAGGAGTCAAATAAAAGCGTTCCAAATCCTTTTAACTCATCAACTGATAGGTAATTTCTACATAAATCCTGCTTTTGACTTTCCTCACTCTTTCTAAAATATATTCATTCCAAAATCAATATATCCTTTATTTAAAACAATTGTTTTCTTAAATTTGGGAGATTTATAAATTTTAAATAATCTCACGACCCGAGTCCTACATATAATAGTATCCAAATTTTTTTAAAAAAAATATTAACCATTAAAATATTATTATATTATTTAAAAAATAGTATGACATAAAAATAATTATTATTAAAATTTATCATGAAATAAAAAATATTACATCTTTTTTAAAGGCGCAATTTTAGGAATATATAAAATTCTTAGAAATGTTTTTTTGAAAAATCTTATTATATTCTTCCTTACTTGTGTGAACTGTATATTTTTGCGCAGGTGACCAAGCATTAAACTTTTCATATTACTATCAAACATTTGTTGTTTTGAATTTGGACTTATGTAAATCTACATTATTTTATAATTGAAATATGATATATTTATGTTGTATGTTGTGTTGTGTTGTCCTGTGTCCAACTGTCCGTCAGATCACACGGAGTATGTCTCGATATCCCGTCCTGTCACCAGGCAGCCTGTGTTCATTCAATCAGTGTCTCAGTGATATTTAGCCCCAGTTTTATTGTGGACACATCTGCCAACTTGTACGGTTACTGAAAGATTTCTTAATAATTAAACATTGAAGAGATAGATCATATTTACATATTTTTTAATTATTGATTTGTTGTGGTAGCTTGAAATTCTTTTTTAAACTTTAAATTGAAGATTTAATACGTCAAACCGCTATAACGTTGCTACTATTAAGAGTTCTTTTTTCCGTACAAGTTTGCAGCTATATATATTCTGAATGTTTAAATTACGATAAAAATGAATAAGGAAAAATTTTTAAGTCTACATCTTACTTACCGAACCGATTAGGTCATTAATCAAGCAATGTATAATTTCGGAGGGATTTTTGATTCTCAAACCCTCCCCAAAACTACGCCACTGCGTATCCCTTCACTTCTTGGAAAAGTTTTGAAAGGCAGGAATGTTTTGAAACATCCAGTTTTTGAAGTACCTATGTGCGCCTTTCAAAACCATCCTGCCTGTTTTCAAAGACAGGATGGATTTGAAAGGCGCGCACATTTCAAAACCATGAACGGCAAGTAAATAAATGATTCAACAATTTTTAGGGGTAATGTTTTTATTCTCTCTTCATGTGAAAAGTAAAAATTTAACTAAGAAAAAGGAACAAAGATTTCATAATTTTGAATTGTAATTTGAATGAAATCATCTGTCCTGGTGTGTTAATGAGGGAAGTATATTTTGAATATTTCACTGAGATATCGATGGATGGCTCTTTTTATGTTATGTGTTGTCCTTTTTTGTGTGTTTGATTGAAGTGGACTGAAAGGGAATGTGTTGATAAAAGACATGTTAGAATAGAATTTAAAGTAAAGACTCTGCTTGAGAGGAAATTGAATGAACCTTTTGCTTATACCATTCTGGTTCACCTGTTATACCAGCTGTAAGCAAAAGGTTAAAGCATTTCTTGTGTCAACACAATGGCGGCCCTTTCCCCCCACAAATACGTGGGGCTGGAATGGGGTGCTGGTGACAGCGTCTTATATGTTTTATGTCTTCTCCCTCTTGTATGTGCTCGTCTTAATTTCAAAAAAATATCTGAATTATATTGTATGTTATTAATATTGGATTCCTTTGAAGTGTGTATGTGTGTGTACTTATACGTTGTTTCATGTCCTTCTGAAATGATAGCCAGTTCTGGAGTGCCTTCGTCAAGAGGTGAGTTTCTCTTTTTAAATGTTGATTCAATGCATGACGATACAAAACAGTCATGTACTACACAATAGGGTCTGGCTTATTCTCATAAGATGGCATATGCATAGAATTCATTATTTTATGACAATGGACAGTAGTATGTGTTTGTCATGATATGTCCTAGCTCCGTGTGATGTCATATTTTTGTGTATTAATTCATTCATTTTATTATTATAATTTAGCTCTCATTTTTTGTACACTTTGCTGTTAATGCTGAATCACAGTAGGTGTGTGTTTCTATGTATTGCAACAGGTATTTTTGTTTCGCTTATAGGTGTTGTTTTTGTGCATTTATTTATGAGTAGCATTTTATTATTTTTCTCAATAAACTATATTATTTATGCCATTATAATATGCCATCTCTACTTAAAGTTGCTTTACTATTCGTTCTTCAATATAAACTATTTAATCGACTGCAAGTAATAGAAACAGACAAATGTGTTTCGGTAAAAAATTGGCAATTATTTAGCTTTAAAAAAATTTATTTATATGGATTGACAAAAATTGCACCTGTAAAATAAATTCCTAAACCTGTAAAATAACCTGTAAAATAATCCTAACAAACTTTAACTAGTTTTGAATTATTAACGCTGATTTGGCTGTACAAATTCCTTCATAACCACAAAATGAGGTACATTTTAAGTAAAAAAATATCAAATTTTTAAAACAATGTCTGAGATATGTAAAATGTAGTTGATACAAATTTCCGTACTATAACAATTTCGTCGTATTATAATTTGATAATCGTATAATAAAGTTTTTTTTTCATCTCACACTCATTCACTCTGCGCTGCATCACATTTTAAATTATTTCTTTCGGCATAAAATGTTTTAATTTTGGGCTCAATGCTTTCTTTCGATAATTATGTTTAATACTCGTATACTGTATAAATGATTTAATATTATCTATGAATATTACGCTATTTATACTATTAAGTTCCGTTTTAGTGTTTTAGCGAAGTAATAATTTGAATCACAGAATGTTTGGTAATGAAATGCCATGGATTTTTAGGTTCGAAAATATTTTTTAAGGACAGTATTTAAAACGATATTTAAATAAGATTTGCCAGAAAAATGGATTTAAAATATCAAAAAGTGGACAGCAATCAAGCTTCATCTTTTCCATTGTATTTTAATATTTATCCCTAATGCAATTATTTCTGAAAATATACCGCAAGGATGGTTTTCACTTTCATAATGGAATATTAATAGTTACCCCTAATGTAATTATTTCTAAAAATATAATGCAAGGATGGTTTTCGCATAATACTTCCTGTCATTTAGTTTTTCAAATAATGTTATTGTGTTGCGTCTTTTAACGCTACTACAATGAATGCATTGGTGAGAAAATGTACAATAAATCTTAATTACACTGTAAAATTTCTGGAAATCTTTAACCAGTATTTGGTGCTAAGTTTCTCCATATCCCAATGTTTAGTTAAATGAAAGATAATTTTATTTTAGTTACACCATAAATTGTGAAGTATGATTAAGAAATACGTCCATGGTGCAACTGACTTCATCAAAATTTAGTAAAAGATACAAAATTTTGATGGTGACTGTAAATTGAAGTATATTTGTTTACGACGCGGTGCATCGGGACAACTAATTATTGTATTGAATAACTATAGTTGTATCAATTTAAGTAGGTGAATATCTTATTTGCAATAATTAAAATTTATTTCTTTTACATTTCTTTTTTAAATTTACTTGACGGTATAAAATAATTAGAGGTATGTCATAAATTAACCTACTTATGGTAAATAGTTTTGCTACTGTAAATAGCAACCTTGACCTGCATTTGAGAGCTCTAAAAATATCTAATAATGGTGCAATAAAAATCGGTGTCTTGTTTCTTCAAAGCACCTACATTTGATGCAACCTTCTACTGATATTTGGAGCTAGTGAAAATATCAAAATATGGTAAAATTGATCTCCATTTTATATAACCAGCAAATGAATACCAATATTTGGTGCCACATGGCTCGAAATTTTTACAGTGCAGTTGTAGAAGAAATCATTTCTGAATGTTTTATAAACCAATTATAGTTCATTTAGAATAATCTTGTTTTAATTTAAACTATGGGAAATTGGATCACTTATTCAAAAGTGTGCACAATTTTTCAAAAATTTCGACAACTTTTGCTACAAAGGAATGTTACAGGAAATGTTGCATTGTTGGAATATTGCTTAGTTAAAAATGTTTTTACAATATTACGCGAATTTCGAAGAAGTGAACGTTGACTTTGATGTGTTGTACAAAAAGTAATTTTTCAAAAGCAGTTAACTTCATTGTCCCAATACAAATAAATTCCCTGTATTTAAATAACTTGTTAGAAACACTTTCCTTTCTCTAAAAAATAATATTCATATTATTCTGGAGAACATCATTTTTGTGATAATGAATTCCGTAGGGGTTTACTCTATTCATTGTAATTTTACATTGACTGTATTCAAACTTAGTACTAATATTCTTTGTAAATAGTTTATTGACACTCATTAAGAAAAGTCCTTTATAAATGAACGAAGTGTCATTAAATGAAGGGAACTTATTTAACTATATTTTCATTGCTTTCTTTTTCATTAAAAATTGAAAAACATAGTGAACATAGCTTCTCCTACAGCTGGAGTATACATCAGATGTTTTTATTGAACTTAGCCTTTGAAATCAACCTCATAGAAATGTTAAGTTTTTAAAATTGAGCAATAAAATATTTGAGGGCAGGTAAAAATATTATTTTTCATTTTTGTAAATTACATTTATAATGTGTTACTAAACTTATATAACGAGTAGCACTTGTTATAACATATTGTGACTCACGCTTTTTAGAAAAGTTGCCTTGAAAGTTTGAAAACAACGTCATTCAGAGAAATTCGAGAGAAGTAAAATGTCACTTTATCATGAGAAATATTTAAAATTTCTGTCACTCACTTTATAAAAGACAGATTAAGAGAATGTTTTGCTCCAGCATTCCGTCAGAAATAGTTAAGTGATGAGTAGAAATGTCAGTATCTTCCTCGTATCGAATATTTATCCTTTTGATACTCAGTTAGTGAGCCTCAATTAATCTATATTTTTCCTATTAATCATTGCCCACCTAAAAAGGTGCTTCAAAATTCCACAATCATATCCCTCCAATGGTTATTACATATAAGACAAATATTAATTACCGAAATCACTCACCAGTTATTGATTACGGATTCCAAAACTCCTTACTTAATCCCTTTGCAAATAGATTGTTTGATCAAGGATACTGAAACTCCTTACTTAACAATCCCTTTGCAAATAGATGATTTGATCAAGGATACTAAAACGCCTTGCTTAACAATCCATTTGCAAAAAGCTTGTTTGATCGCGGATACTGAAACTCCTTGCTTAACAATCCCTTTGCAAATAGATTGTTTGATCACGGATACTAAAACTAAAACTCCTTGCATAGCAATCTCTTTGTCAAATAGATTGTTCGGATTGGGAAAACTCCAGTCTCAATTTTGACAAATTAACACTAACTTTTTCAACTTTTTATAGAGTTCTCTAAGACCAACTGTTTTTCGCGACCCTCTTCTTTTTTTCCTTTTTAGTAGATTGACAGAGTTTTGTCCGATGGACAAATTAACTCCAGTTGAATGTGTATCCTAATTCTATCTTATCAAAGAAATATTTTTGAAAAAGTAATTGTTTACCCCAAATACCTTAAAATCAGTGCTCAGATGGAGAGTATAATTTGGGAGTTTTTTCCGGTTAGATAATTTGAAACAATGAATTATTTAACTAAACTCATGTAATAACATTACTAAGACTATCTGTTCACGCCATTTTCTAGTGGTTTTGCATTAATAACGCTTTTTATGGTAAATTAGAATAAAACATAATAATAACATAAACAGTAAAACATAAATCAATATTAACTACTTATATTTATTCCAACTCAATTGAAGCCGCACTTTTTATTGGTTTTCCAGATGGTCAAGGTATAAAAAAATTGCTTAAGAACCTAAATCGTTTCAACGGTCATTTTTACCCGTCATCCCCATTTTTGATTTAAACTTGCTTATCAGAATTTAAGAACAACTTGAATCCTTTACAACCTTGAAAAATAGTAATTGTAAAACTAATTATATTTTATTGATTGCTGTGTGATAATAATAAAAAAATAATGTTTTGTAAAAAAAATGCACATTTATGAAAGAGTAATCAAACTGCAATTAAATTGTCAGTAATTTTCAACTATACTATTGTGATCAAAAATGATTTAAAATTCCTCTATAATAGATGCAGTCTACAATCTTTTTTCAAACATTACTTCTATTGACGATCGGAATAGGCAACAGATGGCGCTTAACAATATTCTTTACATGTATCAGCTTGTGGATAGTCACAGGAGTTGAAAATGAGCTAGTTTTTGTCTTGATTTTAAAAGCGATTAAACATTTTGAATTTGGAAGTTATCACGAACTCAAAAATGCATTGGATATGGTACTTAAAGTAAGCATTGCGAAAATTTTTAGGTATATTTTAGACAATCTAAAACTGATAAGTATTTAAAAGGGGATTTTATAAGGTAGCGTGATAATAATTACGAAGTGATAACAATTACTTGCGACAAGAAAGAAAAAAAAAACCTCATTTAAATTCAGTTATAATCAAGATCGTTTGTAGAGTTAACATCCTTAAGTACATTGCATAAAGGGCTTGGAATTTGCTTAAAAAAAATATGTCACCTGTAATTCCGAAAGGAAAAACATATTTTATTTTATAACCGTCGTTGAACAGCCGACCCTATTTTTGAGTTTATGACTACTAATGGTCAACTCCGCAGCCTTGTAATTTTGAACCCAATTCAAAAGACAAGGGAACTCCTGGATCAAGTATTGGAAGAAAATTTTGCTTTCGGGGAGGACTTTTTGATGGAACTGACCCGCATTTGTGTTACACGGAGATGAAGACCACGAGAAACTTCTAC